GATTCCAACAAGCCCCTAAAATATTTTCAAACCACACTCCATACAAAATGATCAGGTACTCATACAAAACCCAGAACAGCTAAAAGGCTAAGTAATAACACTTCTCATTTATGGTCTGCTGAAAAGGACAAAGCACTCAGGAACTGGTATCAATCCATACAACACTAGAAACCTATGAGATAGGTGGCACCATCTCCTTCGACATGTAAAGAGTAACTTATTGAGGGCCACACAGCTAGCTATCCATGGCAGAGCTGATCTACCTCAATATTGTGTGCAGAGATCACAGGTCAACTTTCTGAGTGTCAATCCTCAGGAGCTCTCCTTGGGGGTTATTTTGTTTTTTTTGTATTTGAGACAGATCTCTCTCAAAGACCAGCCACAGAGCCCCAGGCATTCTCCTGTGTCCACATTCCAGAACTGGGATTATATATGCACAAAACATCTGGCTTTTCCATGTGGGTGCTGAGGACCAAACACAGATCCTTATGCATGCATAGTAAGCATTTTACCAAAGTAGCTATCTCCTGAGCCCATAAAATTAATTTCAAAAGTTGTTGACATTTATTTCTTTTGTGTGCACATGGAAGTCAGAAGACAACTGAGGGAGTTGGTTCTCTCCTTCACTGTGTGGGTATCAGGGATCGAACCTAGGATATCAGGTTTGGTGGTAAGCACCTTTACCAGCTAAGCCATTTCACCAGCCCCTCTACATTAATTCTAAAGTGAATGTTTTCTCAATGTAGCAACCCTTTTAAAAATAAGCTGTTAACTGTGTTGAAGAATCATGTAAGGTTATTACAGTAGTTATAGTACACTCTGAAAACCCACTAAACTATCAAACGAGCTTTAATGTAAGGCTCTCCCCAGGAAGACAGAGTAACAGACCAGGCTCATAGCTACTTTAATTTGGCTTTTCATCTGTTTGTCAAGGCCATTCAGAAATAACTCCTCTAGCTGAGTCTTTTAAGGAAAACAATGAAATAAACAACCAGAACAGGAAAACTTACATAATCAAGAACTGGCCAGAACTTGAAGGGAAAAAGTTTACCTACAATCTGCCAGAACAGCTTGTTTTGGTGAGGCCATCACTCACTTTCATCTCATTACAAGAATCAGAAACATGTAACTGCCTCTCAGAAAGCAACCTTGTAAGTCGCTTTTAGCAGACACATCACAGAACAGCAAAGTACTTCAAATCCATATCTCTTCCTTTAGCATTCTCCTAAGGAAAATCCCAAGTCTACCTCCAACTGTTTCTCACTATGAAATGTAGATCTACTGGAGCCCTTTTTATGCAGTGAAGACAGGTCTAACCTTAAAGAGTCATTATGTAACGATATTCTCCTGGCCCCTAGCTAGTGCAAATTCTCTCTTTCTTTCTTTCTTTCTTTCTCTCTCTCTCTCTCTCTCCCCCTTCCTTCCTTCCTTCCTTCCTTCCTTCCTTCCTTCCTTCCTTCCTTCCTTCCTT